AGAAAGCACCATCATAAGGTAAAGAGACCTGAGACACATTTAGAAGTAGAATGCACCATCATAAGGTAGAGACCTGAGACACATTTAGAAGTAGAAAGCACCATCATAAGGTAAAGAGACCTGAGACACATTTAGAAGTAGAATGCACCATCATAAGGTAAAGAGATCTGAGACACATTTAGAAGTAGAATGCACCATCATAAGGTAGAGACCTGAGACACATTTAGAAGTAGAATGCACCATCACAAGGTAGAGACCTGAGACACATTTAGAAGTAGAATGCACCATCATAAGGTAGAGACCTAAGACGCATTTAGAAGTAGAATGCACCATCATAAGGTAGAGACCTGAGACACATATAGAAGTAGAAAGCACCATCATAGGGTAGAGACCTGGGACACATTTAGAAGTAGAATGCACCATCATAAGGTAGAGACCTGAGACACATTTAGAAGTAGAAAGCACCATCATAGGGTAGAGACCTGAGACACATTTAGAAGTAGAAGCACCATCATAAGGTAGAGACCTGAGACACATTTACTACATTAAATAAGTAACACTTTACCTAAAGCTACACTCTGGCTATATATTAAATAAGTCACACTTTACCTATAGCTACACTTTGGCTATATATCAAATAAGTAACACTTTACCTAAAGCTACACTCTGGCTATATATTAAATAAGTCACACTTTACCTAAAGCTACACTGTGGCTATATATTAAATAAGTAACACTTTACCTAAAGCGACACTCTGGCTATATATTAAATAAGTCACACTTTACCTAAAGCTACACTGTAGCTATATATTAAATAAGTCACACTTTACCTAAAGCTACACTCTGGCTATATATTAAATAAGTCACACTTTACCTAAAGCTACACTCTGGCTATATATTAAATAAGTCACACTTTACCTAAAGCTACACTCTTCATATAAGGTTATGTGTCCCGCCTAAAAATTACGAGACTGCTGCATTCTACTTTTAAATGTGTCTCAGGTCTCTTTACCTTATGATGGTGCATTCTACTTCTAAATGTGTCTCATGTCTCTACCTTATGATGGTGCATCCTACTTCTAAATGTGTCTCAGGTCTCTACCTTATGATGATGCATTCTACTTCTAAATGTGTCTCAGGTCTCTACCTTATGATGGTGCATTCTACTTGCTACACTCTGGCTATATATTAAATAGGTCACACTTTACCTGAAGCTACACTTTGGCTATACATTAAATAAGTCACAATTTACCTAAAGCTACACTGTGGCTATATATTAAATAAGTCACACTTTACCTAAAGCTACACTCTGGCTATATATTAAATAAGTCACACTTTACCTAAAGCTACACTCTTGGCTATATATTAAATAAGTCACACTTTACCTAAAGCTACACTTTGGCTTTCAGGTAAAGTGTTACTTATTTAATATATAGCCATTTACTAAACATGGCACACAATAGCTTTTTTAGACAAGCATAAATTATTGATGTGTTTATTATTTTAATTGTTGCATTTAATATATAATTACAAAAATCTTTGTTCTCGAGATCTGTGGATAACAAATTGGAAAGACAGGTGTTAATATTTTGTGTTCTTTAACCAGCGTAGCCAAGATATCGCTTACTTGAACCAGCGTTGCCAAGATATCTTGTGTTCTTTAACCAGCGTAGCCAAGATATCTTGTGTACTTCAACCAGCGTAGCCAAGATATCTTGTGTTCTTTAACCAGCGTAGCCAAAATATCTTGTGTTCTTTAACCAGCGTAGCCAAGATATCTTATGTACTTTAACCAGCGTAGCCAAGATATCTTATGTACTTTAACCAGCGTAGCCAAGATATCTTGTGTACTTTAACCAGCGTAGCCAAGATATCTTGTGTTCTTTAACCAGCGTAGCCAAGATATCGTCTACTTTAACCAGCGTAGCCAAGATATCTTGTGTACTTCAACCAGCATAGCCAAGATATCGCTTAATTTAACCAGCGTAGCCAAGATATCTTGTGTACTTTAACCAGCGTAGTCAATATATCTTGTGTACTTTAACCAGCGTAGCCAAGATATCGCCTACTTTAACCAGCGTAGCAGACAAGAAGAAGAATGAAAAATATATTCACTTCCAACAAAATACAATTAAAACAACAACAACAAAATACAATTAAAACAACAACAACAAAATACAATTAAAAAACAACAACATACAATTAAAACAACAACATACAATTAAAACAACAACAACAAAATACAATTGAAACAACAGCAACAAAATACAATTAAAACAACAACAACAAAATACAATTGAAACAACAGCAACAAAATACAATTAAAAAACAACAAAATACAATTAAAACAACAACAACAAAATACAATTAAAAAAC